ACCCACAAAATTATAATTTGGGTAATTACTGGTGGTAGGACCTCTTGTGAGTCCGCACGGGTAGGTACCACCACCCCGCCTATTTCTGCCGTGAAGCAGTAATGCGTTTCGGTTTGAAAGGTGGGGCAGCCGTTGTAAGTATAGGTACTTGAGACCTTAGAACTTATATCTCAAGGTGGGTGGCGCATTTACTTTGTAGATGTCCATGGGCTCCAGTTACCACTTAACACCAGGTGGGCTGTGAGCTCGTCCACACATCTAAGCAATAAAAAATAAAAAAATTAACTGTCAAAAACCAAAAAAATCTAATTCAACTAAACGCACGCGTGTGTGTGTGTGTGTGTTTGCGTGGGTAAACTGTAAACACACTCCAGTTATTAACCGCTTGAGCGCGAACCGTCGATAGATCGACTCTGTTAATGCGTATAAAATGTCGATCGGAACACCGACTATTTTTTTTTTTTTTTTANTAAAAAAATAGAAATTAAAAATTTTGTCTAAAAAATAAATAAAAAAAATTAGGGGTGCACTACCCCTAACATTTAGGGGGATGAAAGATAGATGTTGGCCGATTCTCATAGATACCGGATAAGCACAAAAAATTTCATCAAAATCGGTCAAGCCGTTTCGGAGGAGTATGGCAACGAAAACTGTGACACGAGAATTTTATATATTAGACTAAGCTGTTGCTTGTGTGTTTGTATACAATATTATTGAATGTATTTAAATCGAACCGAAATTAGAGCTGTATTATTATTATGTAACTGTACGAAAATAAAGCTTGTGCATGATTTGAAAAAAAAAAAAGAACAAATTAATATTATGAACCAACATGAAGATGGCGAGAAGTGAGCAGTCGGTAAGACTCCTAAAATCCATGGACACGTTTCATATTAAAGGACATCAAATAAAACCCACATGAAGCTCGATGTTTACGATGACAGTAACGATGCCAGCAGGCTGTGTACAATGTGCGACACTTGCGAACTCACCGAGCGCCAGCAGCAGCGCGATGCTCCTCGACCCCATCCCGGGACACTCAGTAGACAGTGTAGTCGGTGTAGTGGGTGTAGGCGGTGTAGTCGGCTGACAGCAGAGAGCGGCGTGTGCTGTGGCCGTGCGCTCGCGACCGACTGCAGGCGCGCGCGCCTCCGCCGAGCTTTTGCTGTCACACGTCGTTATGCAACAGTTGCACATCTCCGCCGGACCTGCGTGGGCTCCTCGCGCCTCTGCACGACCTGGACCGTCAGCATCGCTCGCATTCACTAATACAATCGAATATCAATCAAATATTTGTAACTTACGAACAGACCATGCTGTTAAGCCCTTTCGCCACAGAAATTATTTTCAGTATTTATTTTTTTACTGACCAGGTAATATTTACAAAATCTCTGGTGGTAGGACCTCTTGTGAGCTGCACGGGTAGGTACCACCGCTCTGCCTATTTCTGCCGTGAAGCGGTAATGCGTTTCGGTTTGAAGGGTGGGACAGCCGTTGTAACTATGCTGAGACCTTAGAACTGAAATCTCAAGGTGGGTGGCGCATTTAATGTTTAATTAAATGTTTATGGGATCCAGTAACCACTTAACACCAGGTGGGCTGTGAGTTCGTCCACCAATCTAAGCAATAAAAAAAATTAAAAACATTCTCAATATTTTTCAAGGCATAACCAAAATACTATCTCGATGGTTTATGATATAATAATAATTAAGAAAATTCTTCATCAAAGATTCGAAAGTATCTATTTCCAGCATCCATAGTTGCTTGGATCGCAGCCTGCTCGACGGTGAACTAGTTAGTCTACATCGAGTTAAGCGAGCTGTACACTACTGTACAATTAAAAATATTTTTACGGTTTAATCTGTGATATGAGTGCGTCTGAGTAGCATTCGACGCGGCAACTAGACCGACTGAACCGTAAAGGTACTAGTTATTAAGGAAAACTACTCGTAAGTGAAAGAGCCGGTCACTGCGAAGGGTCGCTCTATAGTCGGAGCAAACTAATTTATCTGGCCCTTCTGTTCATTGTTTGCCAAATGAGAGAGCTTGAGTAAGCGCGCAATGTTATAATGGAACGATGCCACGACGTGAGCCTGGTGACGCCATGACAGTATCCGACCACGTAGACGATGACGTCGCAAAGCAGCGACCGCCATCGTCGGGCCGTGAGCCTGCTCGGGAGACTCCTGGAATATATTATAATACATTTTTATTGATGTTGATATTACGCTCGGTCGGCTGCACAGCTTTGTGCACCTTGTGCTCCCTACTGCAAGAGGTATGACCTTAAATCACTTAAAATAAAAAAAATGTGAATTACAAGTTGTTTGAAGTCGTCGTGGCCTAAAGGATAAGCCGTCCGGTGCATTCATGTTGAGCGATGCACCGATGTTCGAATACCAAGCGAATACCAATTTTTCTAACGAAATACGTACTCAACAAACGTTCATGATTGACTTCCACGACGAAGGAATAACATCTTGTAAAAAAATCAAACACACAAAATTATAATTTGGGTAATTACTGGTGGTAGGACCTCTTATGAGTCCGCACGGGTAGGTACCACCACCCTGCCTGTTTCTGCCTAGAAGTAGTAATGCGTTTCGGTTTGAAAGGCGAGGCAGCCGTTGTAAGTATACATACTTGAGACCTTAGAACTTATATCTCAAGGTGGGTGGCGCATTTACTTTGTAGACGTCCATGGGCTCTAGTAACCACTTAACACCAGGTGGACTGTGAGCTCGTCTACACATCTAAGCAATAAAAAATAAAAAAATGAACTATCAAAAACCAAAAAAATCTAATTCAACTCAGAGTAAACGCACGCGTGTGTGGGTGTGTGTGTGTGTTTGCGTGGGTAAACTGTAAACACACTCCAGTTATTAACCGCTTGACCGCGAACCGTCGATAGATCGACTCTGTTAATGCGTATAAAGTGTCGATCGGAACACCGACTATTTGCGCAATTTGATTAAGTATTATTAAGCATAGACCTGTAACGACGTGACTGAGCGTGCGCATGTAGAACGTTTTTAATAAGTTAATAATTTTTCTAAATAACCATTTAAAATTATTTAGCTGTGAATTTATCATTGATTTTTGTATTTTTAAGCTATTATCGCGGGCTTTGATCGCGGCGACCGAATCAAGAAATTCCGTAACGAAAATAAAACCTAACATCCCACTCCGCCTACCATTTAGCTCGCGTTCAACACATTCACACGTTGCGCTTGTGCAGTGTTTGTGAAATAAGCGCGCGGCGTGACGTCGCTCTGCATGCGCATCATGAAAAGTCTGCCCATCTCTCTCTCACGCGGTCTATCTTATGAAGGGGACAGTTAATGTTTTGCTTTTGTTAATGTCTATAAATATAGCGCGGTTTTATTTTATTGTTTTAATATTAAATTATTATTTTCTAATTATAATTGCATAAGTGGAAAAAAAAGCTATGCAATAGCTTTACCGCTGCAGTCCCCGAGTGCCACACGTATTTTTTTAATTAAAATTTTTATATTTTTTTATTGCTTAGATAGGTACAATTTACATTATATTAATGGTATTTGGTATTGGTATATGTATATATAAGGTACTATTTCAAAAACCCTTTAGCAATTTCTGCAAAATATGTGAAAATAAGCTCAGCACTAAAAAGGTTAATAGCACAATAGTGTAATCCGTAATAGAAGCTTATGAAACTTTTCGTAATTAAATCTTAAAATCGTCGAAGCATATCTCGAGAGCTTTTACACAAGGAAGTCAAGTTAATTATATTATTACTTCATCTTAATTTCATACAAGTGTTCAATTTCTAGGCGGCGCTCATTAACCCGAGTACGCACTCGCGTGGATGATCTTGTAAGCTCAGATAAGCTTTACTTAATATATTTACCGTTTAATTAGGCGCCGAACTAAGACACCCTAAGCCGACGATTGAAATTAAATATTGTTAAAAACAACATTCGCAGAACTCAGTGGCACCGCGCAAGCCTTTGCTATAAAGAGTCACACTTCAATACTAATTATTATTGGTTAATTGATATTAATATCTTAGTAACGTAACGCGATCTGTAATCTACGTGATGGTGAGTGGGTCAAAACTGCCACACACATGAGGACAAAGTATCAATTGGATTGTAAAAGGCTTATTACACTTGGCTAAATTAAGTCGACTGAATTCAGTGAAGTGTAATAGCATTAAGTAAGTCTCCTAAATTAGCCTACTAAATTCAGTAGCAAGAGTGGTTTCTGGCTGACTAAATCATTTAGAAGGTTAATTAGAAACGCATTTAGGAAGGTGTAATCGCATTTAGTTACTTAATGGTTTCAGTCGTCCCATAGCTCTCCGTGCGTAAGGGCGTTTTAGTTTGTTTTTTACTTCCGAATAAAATGTATTTATTTCTGTCACTGTGAAACAAAAAAAAAAACAAAAAAAAAATGTTGTCTAGACAATACTGGGGCCATCCACTTACGCTCACGACACGTCTTACTTCGTCGCATTTAAGCTGACTATTGATTCAGTAACTGAATTTAGAACAGTGTAATCAGAAGCTTCTAACTTGCTTCTAAAGCTTCTGAATTCAGTCGACTACATTTAGCCAAGTGTAATAAGCCGTTAAGCTCACCGGGGGCGGAGATGAGGCAGAGGTGGAGTGTTTTTACAAAAGGCTATTTCTAATACTGCCCTTCAGTCGTTACTATCTTAGAATCCAAACTTGAACAAAAATATGCACATTTAAATAAAATAATAATAGAGTGATTCTTCATTGCTCAACTAACAAAGAAATTAATGTAAGAGTCATCTATAAGCAGCCAGCAGAACTACTAGTCGAAGTAACTAGATTACTAACATCGAAATATAATACTTAATAAAAATTATATGTATGTAAGCTGTGTACTTTCGTCCAATAGGAAAGGACTGTTTTCCACTTAGAAACAATTAAACCAATCACTACTCTACAACCTTGAACAGCTAACTTAAGTTGCAGAATCGAGAACGAAGGCTCTGTGCGACATGTCAAACTTGTCAAACAACCGGAAATAAGTTGAATACAAAACTAACGAAACTAAGTTTGCGAAGTTGAAATGTTCCAATCTCTTTAAGTTAGAAAGTATTAAAATATTAGTCATAAGTGAAACGAAGTGTGATAAAGATGTTATATATTGGTTTCATCTTGTTCATAGGACTTGCTAAAGGTATTTTATAATAGTTGAAGTCGTGTTAAAATGGCAAAAACAATAAACTTTCTCTTTTATTATTTATGCAGCATTTTTACAAAAATATGAATGGTTTCAGAATGTTATACGCAGGATGATAATGGTCCCTACCTAGGAAGATCTATTGGCGAGTTTAATACTTACCACCACCAGGTAAATATTTTGCCAATAATTTAAAATGTTTTTGAGACGAAATCGTATTTCGCTAACTCAAGGCTTTGACATTAAGTTGCTGCAGTCTTGGTACAAATAGTAACTGCAGTAGAGAGTGCGTTCTTACATATGCTTAAAAATTACCCATATTTACTAAAATTATCATTTTTTACAATATTCAACATATATTTAGTACATAATATTTTTTTAAACTATTTGTTTACTGGTTCTCTCGGTGCCATTGAATTGCACAGCTAAACTGCTTCCTGGACTCCAAACATAGAGCCAAATCTCCAAGAACTTAACAGTATATTCCAAGGCCTGACAGATTTTTTGAAATTACTCAATCATCTTATTTATAACGGAGTCACTATTGATGAATTGTTGTTGAATAAATTCATCAATAGTGCATATCCAGTTTACTTTTATTATTATAGTATCAAGCTATTGAAAGGGCCTCAACTGTTCTTGTTGAGTACAAAACTTTTCCTTCTCAAACAAGATTTGAAAGTATTGCTAGTGTGGTTCAATTCAATTTTCACCTGTTTAATTTACAGCTACTTAAATGTAATGTATTTACTTTTATCAGTAGTCATTAATGCCCAATTATAAGTTTCTAAGCTTTAGCTTAATAGTTCTTAGTTATGTCTTAAGGTAAGGTATGTCTTGTTCAGAACTAGAGATCTGATAGATCTGTTCTCTGTTCTCTACTTCTCATCTTCAAATACCACCTCCAATAAGCCTGCAACAGAATTGAGATACAAGAGCTTCAGGTAACCATTGTCCCAGATGATAATTCCTAGCGATCATGATTCATCCTATCTATAATCATCATCATCATATTCAGGTTATATGATTGTTTCGTCAGAGCCCATTTTTACTAAATCATCAGCCTTATTATTTTCTGTGACACAAACATGTCCACACACTGAGAATAGTTTGAGATTATTGTATGAACCTAATTTTTTCCATCTTCAAGATGAACTCCATTTTAGTGCCTTGAAGGCAGGTTGTTGAAAATGTTGATTGTTCTATTATTTTATGTCCTAATGAACTCAGCCACTTAAGCATTGACAGTGCACATTTCCGCCTTGGAAAACCAAAGCACATTGTCCAAGACTAGTAATAGAAAATATTTAATTTAATTGAAAACTGAATACTCCAGGTATCAGGTGATGTGTATGCTGTAGATGACTGGACCCTATTACTGGTGAATTTTAACTATGATGGTACTGGAGTTGACACATTCTTCTGGGCTGGAGATTCTGGGAGGCCAGGCCCACAGGGTTTTATAATCCCTGATCAATTTGGCAAGTCAGTGAAATTCAAAATTTATTTATTCATAAAATATTATTAATCATTAAAAGCTGAGTAGTAAAATATTCTTTATATTTACATATCCTTTATTAATTGCAGAACCAATGTCCTGGAGCGATACTACAATGAGGAAGTACGACTCACACTTCCAGAAGGCAAGCGGATATCCCGAATCAAGTGGTTTGCCGTTTATGATATAGACTCACAGAATGCATTTGGGGATGTGTATATACCTGAAGATTTCTCTGCTCCAGCACCTCAGTCACTAGCAGCATTCTCCTCTGCTGCTGTGACAAGTAAACCTCTGAGAGTACTTGACGCTTCTACCATATTGTGAGAGTTATTATTTATTTACTACTTTAGATCACTTTTCTTTGTCACATTTATTTCAATGACAAAATCATTGTATTTCACAAGTACATAGGTTTCCTTTTTTGGTGAAGTTAAAGATGTTTTGGTTCATGAAATTTAGACCTTGATGTACTGGGACATTATTCATAAATCTAACAATACTTAAATTTACTTTTCTGATTTCAGAATACCAGAATTCAGATATGACGGCCGTGGAGAAGAAGCCTACTTTTGGACGGGAGTCGGGCCACAGCCTTCATCACGAGGCTTCAAAATACCTGATGAATATGGATAGTCAGTACACCCATTAAAAATACTTGTACTAATTTGTATATGGGGTTCACCACAAAGGATATGTCAAGAGGAAATATGTTTTTGCCTACCTATTCGCTGGTAGCCTAAGAGGCTACTCCAGCTACGCCCAGTAGGGTAGGTGAACTCATGGGCTCAACTTGAGTGAATTTGCTAACACTAGCCTTAGCAAGAGCAGTGCGTCGCAGAATCTACCACCGAATCGAAAACGCGACCCACTGAGAAGATCCGGCGAGAAGCTCAGTGGGCTGTGTCTATGGGTTAGTTCGCTCGTCGAACTCTTCGTCGTAATCGACGAGGACGGTGACTAGTACTCGAGAGGTCTAAAAGCACCGAGAGTGAATCCGGAGGATCCGACAAGACATGTTTCGGACGACTGCGGCTCTGCGTTGCCCCGACGCGTCGGATGAGTAATTAGCGGCGGTCCCGACAAGAGGGTTATCGTGTCGCGCTGCTTTGTCGAAGTAGGGTTCTGACTATGTTTATTAGAGTAGAACATTATTTACAGTTTTCGGCTTCATATACCTTTTGGGGGACACCCTGTATAACTTAACATTATACATATCAATATATAAATAATGTAGAAACATCTGATTATCTGTGTATCAGCCTGGAGCCAATTCGCGCGTACAAGGGCGAAGACGTGCGGCTAGAGCTCCCGGGCGGCAAGACCATATTCGACGTGAACTGGATCTCCGTGTACGACGCGTCCGCGCGCGCCAGCCTCGGCGCCGTGCTCGTGCCCGACGGACTCAACGTGCCGCCCGCCGCCCTCGTCACGCACCCGCACGAGTAAACCGCGCCCGCACGCACGCACGCACGCACGCACACGCACGCACACACACAGCCCACCTTACATGGCTACCGGAGCCCATAGACTTCAGTATAATTATAACGGCCGCCCCATTCTTCAAACCGAAACGCATTACTGCTTCACGGCTGAAATAGGCAGGGCGGTGGTACCTACCCGCGCGGACTCACAAGGCGGCCTACTACTAGTAATTACGCAAATTATAATTTTGCGGGTTTGTTTTTTATTACACAATGATATTTTCCCTTACTGTGGAAGTAAATTGTGAACATTTGTTGAGTACGTATTAAAATTTCGTACCCGCCTGCGGGATTCGAACACCGGTGCATCGCTACATACGATTACACCGGACGTCTTATCCTTTAGGCCACGACGACTTCATTATGTTGTAGGTCTTGGCTCACGTCATCTTGAGATATTTTTAATATGCCTATGATTATTCCCCTGTGCTTGGATGTCATAATCACTATTATTTTGATCCATTAACGGTGCTTTTAGGCACCACAAGCACCGGTCACCATCCTCGTTGAACCCGTCGCTTGCGACGAAGGACTCTACGAGCGAATTAACTCATAAACACAGCTCACTGAGTTTCTCGCCGGATCTCCTCAGTGGGTCGCGTTTCCGATCCAGCGGTAGATTCTGCGAAGCACTGCTCTTGCTAGGGTCAGTGTTAGCAACTCTCCGGTTTGAGCCCCGCGATCTTACCTACAAACGTTAGAGCGAAGCTGAAATAGCCTCTCAAGGCATCAGCATAGTAGGAAAACACCCACTATTATTTTAATTAGTTTCAATAAAATTAACGAAATAACACGAATACAATGTTTTAATGTTTCCATTAGTTATATTGTATAAATGTGACGTGCAGGAGCAAGTTGAGTCAGTGCAAGCAGCTGCACCGCGACCTCCAGGTCTCGTGGAACGTCCACGGCAGGGAGATCACCATCGAACTCGCGGGACAGGTAACTGATTGATCATCGTTTCAAATGTTTATTAAGTCTGGTTGTGTCTTCTCATTTAAAAAAATTTTGAATGATTTTTTGGACTCTGAACTGACTCTGAACAAACTCTCGGCGATCAGTTAAGGTGATGCGTACATGTGGTTTTGACAAAGTGAGTGTCGTGTGCAGATAGAGGAGGACGAGTACATGTCGTTCGGTATCTCCGGCGCGGTGGAGCGCTCCGCCATGCTCGGCGCCGACGTGGCGGTCGCGCGCTACTCCCTCGCAGAGAGGCGCGGCCTCGTCACCGACTACAACATCTCGGACGTGGCGCCGGTACGTAGCCCCCCGCGCCCCCCCGGCGTCCCCCGCGACCCCCCGCCCCCACTGAACCTCCCCCACCCTCGCGTGTGTGCAGTGCGTGCGCGTGCTGGGCGTGTGGCGCGGCGTGTGTCGCGACACGGCGGTGGGCGGCCTGGACTCCCCGCAGCTGCTGTACGCGTCCCGAGAGGACTCTCTCACGCGCATCACCTACCGCACCAACCAGCAGCCCGGTAACATCTCACTTTTCTCTATATTTTAACTTTGTAATTCTGATCTATTTCTGGTTATGGCACAAATATTTATATTTTTACTCATTCAAAATTATTCACAATATTATTATGTTCACGCTGAAATTGCAATTGAATGACTGCTGAGAATAGTTCCTGCTTGAGGAATCTTTGATATTGTAATAATCTAAATATTTTGATTCGAAGACGAGGCTCTGGACCGAGAGTGGAAAAAAGACGGAGACCTTTATGTAGTGTGGGCTGTGGGGAAGCTGGACTCCCTCATGGAGCCCGCCTTCCATCGCCTATATCCGCGCCACGATGTCATCATACGCCTCAACAACACTCTGCCGGATAATGATTGTTTCAAGTTCACCATGTGAGTACTCCGAGGGGAAACTGTATTCCAAATTGGTTCAGTTATCATTTAACTAGACACACTCGGTTACTTCATACCGCTATATAAATTACACTGACGGACAAATTTAGAGGAACGCAAAAATTTGTTTGTTTGCTTGTTTGCTCCTAACGCTGACCTTAAATATTCAGGTATCATAATAAAGAAATAATGTTTTGCGTGATGCGTGTGGTGCAGCGGCAGCAGGGCGCGGCCGAGTCCGTGGGAGGTAGCGCAACTGTTCGACCCCACCCTGCGCGTGTTCCAGTTCCGCGTGGGGCCGGCGGGGGGCGCGCGGGGGGTGGCGGGGCGCGCGGAGGGGCACGCGCCCCCCCTCGCCTGGTACGTCAACGGGCAGCTCGCGCCCGACATCCAGCTGCGCCGCGGACTCACCTACACCTTCTACGTACGTCACACATTCCTGCCTTCCTCCCTGTTGCAAACAGCATCCCGACTGTGCGTGCGCCTCCCCCAGCGCCGCTCGACCCTCGACCTAGCTTTGGCGAACGTGTACATTCACTAAAAATTATTCTTGTTTTTGAGTTTAAATAGTGACAGCCAACTTATATATTGTTGTTTATATACAAATTTATTTAGTGGACATTGTGTGTGCAGGTGTACGGGGGCAACGAGCCCCACTCTGCCACCGAGTACCACCCGCTGGTGGTGACGGCGGAGCAGGGCGGCGGCCTGGAGCGCCTCTCGGACTCCGCCCTCCGACAAGTGCGCGTGCTCGCCGGCCTGCACTACTCGCGCCGCGGCCTGCTGCAGCCCACGGCCGGTACGTGCGGGGGGTGCGTGCGTGCGTGCGTGCGGGTGCGTGCGTGCGTGCGGGTGCGTGCGTGCGTGCGTGCGTGCGAGTGTGCGTGCGTGCGTGCATGCGTGCGTGCGGGTGCGTGCGTGCGACTAACTGGGCTGGCGTGTTGCAGCGGGCGGGCTGTGCCTGGGCCGCGCGGCGGAGGAGGCGGACCGGCGGCGGGACGCGGACTACGTGACGTTCCGCGCGTACAACAGGTCGCTGCGGTGGGAGTGCGCGTCGGCGAGCCCGGCCGCGCTCACGGTGTCCCCGAACTCGTCGTGGCCGGACATCGTGTACTACAANGTGCGTGCGTGCGACTAACTGGGCTGGCGTGTTGCAGCGGGCGGGCTGTGCCTGGGCCGCGCGGCGGAGGAGGCGGACCGGCGGCGGGACGCGGACTACGTGACGTTCCGCGCGTACAACAGGTCGCTGCGGTGGGAGTGCGCGTCGGCGAGCCCGGCCGCGCTCACGGTGTCCCCGAACTCGTCGTGGCCGGACATCGTGTACTACAACTCCTTCACGCACGCAGGTCTCTATCTCTACTCTCTACTGCTCGCACTTCAAATGTTAGCAAAGTAATAAATTTAATAGCATAGTTATGAGTATATCTAATTATCAAAGCACACGATATTATTGAAAATTGTGCCCACGTTAGTAATCATTTATTTTTTAACCACTATGTCATGCTTTCATCATGGAACCCGTTCATGTGTTAAGGACGTGTCCTTAAAATATATACACTTGCGGAATGTGCGCTACCCGGGCCCAGGGACAGCAGCGACAGGCAGGATCGAAATATGAATCTCGAACAAAATGAATTTGAACGTTAGCGAAGATCGTTAGTTGTTACCGCCGCGTCCCCGCGCAGGCATGGGCGGCCGCATCTACATCGTGGACCGACACAACCGGAACATCGCCCGCAAGAGCGCCGCCGCGACGCTCGCCCCCCTCACCCCCCTCACCGTGCTCACGGCGCTCTCCGTGCTCACCGTGCTCACCGCGCTCACGGCCCGGTGATATCCAGCACCTTCCTACACCGCACGTCCCACGCTGTTCATGGACAGTAAGTTTGTTTGTTTTATTCAAAAAATATCAAATTGAATAACATTTATGCTGATATAAGATGTACTGTTGCAGATCGTTCGTCGCACCGCCGAAACTATTCATAAAATATAATATGTCGATAAGCTTCTGCAATACCTTATTTTACACAATTCTGCTGTGGGATCTTCACACCCGAAGTGAGCTGACAATGAGCGGAAGAAACAAAGGTTCAGAGAACCTGCTCCAGGTACCGACGCGGCGAGGGGTCCGGGCGCTGAGCAGGACGGAAGCAGCGCGCGGCAGCAGGGCGTGGGGTGCATGCTATCAGTACTTTTTTAATAATATCCTGAAAAGCACCCCACGCTTCTTTACAATAAAATCATTTTTCTTAAAATATTTTAATTTAAATTTATTAAAATTTATTTCCAATTTTTTTATTGGATTTTCTATAAAAGTGTATTTTTTTTATTTTTTAAAACTATTATTTATTTCTCATTTTTTTATTGAATTTCAACTTTTTCAATGATTATTTTTTAAATACATATTGTATTGTCATCGGTCTTTAATAAGTATGCCAAATTTCGAATTAATTCGACATTTTAAAGGGGGTCAAAGTCATGTTCAAAGATTCCGTAACATACATACGTCTGAAGCTAATAAAAGCGTATTAAAAATGAAATGAATCTTTGTACAGACTCCCGCCGCTGTCGCTCGGGGTCATTATATTAAAGTACAACTAGAAACTGGCCTTAGTACATATTATTATTGTAATACTCATGAATTTATTATTGGTTTAGAGGTGAAATTATCAAATATGTCTGTAACTGTATTGATAATATGAACACAGTACGGTATTTGTATGTAGGATGTAAGTGAGGTTTGTAAATAAAACAACGTCCACTAAACATGTGCCATTTATTGAAAGATCTGTGAGCGGCGCCGTGACGTCACGCCGCATCGGACAACTATACCTACCGTGTCTTCTTTATCATTACCGCGAGCCAATAATGGCTGACTAATATCGCTACCGTAAAACAATCCCATTCTAATAATTTAGTACAACATTCTGAAACAAATCAGTGAAAGTCGATGAAATTTATTTACTAAATAAATATTTTAAAACATGTTTTGACAAATGACACGCGTCTCGCTCACTAGCGTACACTTAATGAGAGTTATATAATAATATAATTATCTAATATCAATTTACGTTACATATATTAACTATTTATTAGAAGAATTAACTAAGATAGTTTTATTTACAAAAGCATACAAGCGGTGCTGGTCCGTACAGTGACTCGTCGGAGCGACCGAAGGAGGGCAATAAAATAATTTGAGCATTACAAAGTACAATAGTGAGAGCGGGCGAGGTCGGGCCCTAGGGCTCGTGCAGGCGCAGGAAGTCCCGCAGCGTGTGCGGCAGCGCGCGGTAGGGCGGCGGGCGGCGCGCGGCGCGGCACGCGGCCAGCAGCACGCGCGCGGCGCGGCACGCCAGCGTCACGTGGCGCAGCGGCCGCACGCGCGACCCGCGGTTCAGCGCCACCAGCTCCAGCGCGCTGTCCCCGAACTTGTTGGGCTGGTCCAGGTGCGCGCCGCCCTCCAGCAGCGCCTCCACCAGCTCCGTCGAGAAGTTGTACGGGATGGCGGCCACGTGCAGCGCCGTGGAGCGCGCCTCGTTGCGCGTGCCCGCGTCCGCGCCGCACTGCAGCAGCAGCCGCGCCACCGCCGCGCTCGGGAACGCGCCCCCCGCGCCCGCGCCGCCCCCGCCCGCCTCCTCCCCGAAGTACGTGCTGCGGACCACGTTGAGCCGCGACACGCACAGGTGCAGCAGCGTGTCGCCCGTGTGCGCGCTCCGCACGTCGCACTCCACCAGCGCGCGCACCCGCCGCGCCAGCTCCGCGCGCTCCGCCTCCGTGCGCGCCGCCTGCTGCAGCAGGTACAGCAGGTGCGTCACGCAGCGCAGCGCGCGGTCGAACGACTCGGCCTGCGCCTTGAAGGAGGGCCGCACGTCCAGCAGCTGGCGGCAGCGCGGCAGGTCGTCGGCCAGCAGGCAGTACGCGGCCAGCACGCTGGAGAAGGCGGGCGGCGGGGGCGGGCGCTCCAGGCGGGCGGCGGCGGCGTCCAGCAGCAGGCGCGTGAGGGCGCAGGCGGCCTGGCAGGTGTCGGCGGACAGCACGGACTCCTTCTCCACGCGCAGCTGCAGGGCCCAGGTCCACAGCTCGATGCACCGGTCGTACTGGAACGAGTCCGCGTACGACGCGCCCCTGTCGGTCGTAAACGTCACAATCCACTCTGTACTTCAGGAATACCATGTGTAGGACCACCATAAAAATACAAGATTTAATATAATTTATATTGGGTTTATTGCACTCTTGGAGCCACTTAATTAAATATATGAAATGTATTAATGGTAGTTACTAGATTCCCGAAACTTTTTTCATTTTAAACAAACTCAAAATAGGTGTACTGGTGGACGTTATGAAATTCTCTCACATTGTTATAGGGAGGCCACCTTACTCGGTGGGATGTGACCTAGAGGTTTTGCATGTTTTAAGTGAAAACACTTTTATTACGCGACGATGCTGGCGTCGGGGCGGTGTGAGGACGGGGCCTGACATCGGCTATGTGGCCCAGGAAGCATCCAAGACGTGTGGCCAGAGATGTCTTTAAAATGGTGCTGAAGGGGAAATTTCGGTACTGATACAAAAATAATAACCTAATTTAGTGATTTATATGTATTGGGCTTTACAAAAAAAATCCTAAAAAAGGCTAGAAGCTGTCAACAATTGTGGAGAGACGATCACACGGCGCGCATCGCGGCGCGGGGGTGGTGACAGCATAATGTAATATATCGTTATTGTAAAATTCCTATTTTATGCTAGTTATTTGTGATAAATTAAGCAGTTTTTTAGCCTATTTAATTACCAGTAGCCTCGAGGGGCTATACTGGTTTCGCCGGGTGTGTGTAAGCGGGCTGTCGGAGCTAGGCCTGAGAGGCTCTGCTAACACCTTTGCCCTAGCAAGAGCTGGGCTATATTGAATCTACCATCGGGTCGGAATCGCGACCCACTGAGAAGATCCGATGAGAAACTCCTGATCATGAAAGCACTGTTGGTCGTACCTGTACATGAGCCGGAAGATGGTGTCCTTATGGTGAGGGCCGAGGATCCTAGTGGTCACCAGCAGCGCCTGCGTCCGCAGCGCGTCCACGTCGTGCATCAGCGCCTGCAGGTCGGCCGGCGTGCGCCACTCGCGAGCGCCGCGCAGTGCCGCACGCAGCGCGGGCGACGCGCCCCCCGCCGCACTCCNGTGCCGCAGCGCCGTGCCGCGCCGCCACGCCGCCAGCGCGCCGCCCACGTCGTTGAACTCGTCCAGCAGCGTGGCGCCCAGCAGCTCGTGCGCGTCGGCCAGCCGCTCGCGCTCGTAGGACACGCGCGACGTCAGCAACCGCACCACCTGCGCCGCGCCCTTGAGGCAGGCGGTGCGCAGGGCGTCGTCCCCGGCGCGCGACGTCAGCAGCGGGTCGGCGCCGTGCTCCAGCAGCAGGCGGACGGTCTCGAGGCGGTGCTCCTGGATGGCGTAGTGTAGCACTGTCTTGTGCTGAGTGTCGCGGGCGTCCACCGCGGCGCCGTGCTCCAGCAGGAAGGCGCACAGCCGGACCGACTGCACCGAGTTGATGAGGCAGGTGCCGCCGTTGTGGTTGGGGCGGTGGATGTCGGCGCCGCACTGCACGAGGTATCGCACGACGGGCAAGTGCGTCATGAAACAAGCGGAACGCACGGGCGTGGAGCCACTGTCGCTGGCCGCGTTGATGTCGGCGCCGGCTTCGGCGAGCACCTTGACGGCCTCCAGGCTGCCGGAGACTGCGGCGGCCCACAGCGGCGTGACGGTGTGCACGGAACGCTCGTCGGGCACCTCGTACAGGCCGCGCAGCTCCATGTCGCAGGCACACACGTGCACGAGGTACTCCGCGATCTCGACGTTGCCGCGGCGGCACGCCACGAACAGAGGCGCGCACCCGTCACGCTTGCGGTCGCACACGGCGCGCCGCTGCTCCGGCTTCATCCTGCAGCACAGTATAGCTTGAAGAACAACAACTCACCATACTTGTGCTCCTAATATTTTTCATGGTTTAAAGTAAAGACTAACAAAACTTAGGTTTCAATTTGATCCATAGATTAAACTATTTTTGTAATATTAATACGATTTTTTATTGCTTTTTAAGAATACTCAAGTTGATACACCAATATTATTCTTGTTGTTTCCCACCCAATACCTGTTCAATGAGGTATAAGTCAGATGAGTGCACAGGCCACCTCATATCATTAAATTTAACATCTTGAAGGTATTTAACAACTACAACACAGTATAAAGATATGTATTTTATGTATAAAAACAGGAACACCTTCATTGATCGATAATGGGGAATTTCTCCATAGGAGAAAATGTATATTTGAATAAAACAAAACTTCAAGAATCCTACTTTTTGTCTTATTCAACATACTTATAAATTTTAAAGATAGAAACTAGTTTTATTTTTCGTAAAAATATTATATTTTAATAATATATTATATTTGTATATATTTATCAAATTTAATGATTCCCCTCTATTTACAATAAAGTACTAAAAATACATTTTTATTCAATTGAAAACAATCTAAACATAGTTTCATTGTTTTCTTCAACCATTGTCATTGTTCCAATGACATAAGCTAATTATTTCTCTCCATTACTATTTATTACTTTTTTTTACATAAAAGCAACATAGGTTAAAATTGAGATGAAAGCGTAAAAATAAACAGTTCAATCGGAAAAACTTGCAAGAAGTATGTAAGTACCTTTCGAGCGCAGTGCGCAGTCGGGCTGAGAGTCGAGCCCCCGGCGCACTGTATTTGCACTCCTGCATGAGCTCATTGAAGATGGCTTCTTGCTGTTTTGCAGACTCGCTCGAGCTCTTCCCACTGCTCCCCTCCGGCCACATCGCACCGCCTGCCACTTTGACTGCTTTTTAGTTCGCTTTTATGAAAAATAGAACCTGGAGTTGTGCACTTTGTATGTTACTATGTCGTATTATATTGTTATCGAACTTTACTGCACAAAATTGAAGAGTTAAATACAAAACAATAGGTACACTATTTCTTGAATTTTATTAAGTTCTTAGGTTTGTACGTTTTATCTGGTATTTATTTATTGATTATTATTTGCCTTTGATTTTATTTTGATTTTAGGTGGATTTTAGTCAATAAAGGTTTGTCAACTGCACAGTAGTGCACTGCACAGACTAGGTAGAGATCAATACAACTGTCAACGCACCATAAATTGTACCTATCTAATAATAGTTCAATTTTCCAACAGCAGAAGCGAAGGTATCATACCATAGAGTCTAACCTTTTATATTTCTCTTAAATTAAGAAATAATATAGAGTGAAAAATAGTATGGATAAAATAAGATAAAATTAATTTATTTAACTACATTAACGACTTTAACAACAGATAATATGAAAGGAAACCAGATAAAAAAGGATGAAATAAAGTCTTAAATGGTGCTTATTCACAGAGACCTTAGTGGGCTTTGAAAAAACCTGAGAAACTACATTCAGTGACTGTTTTATTTTTCCAAATTAATGCAATTTTCACCTAAGCTAAACTGCAATGTGCTTCATTAGTAGCTGAATTTACAATTTAACGCCGATGAAACCGCTGAGCATGACTAGTCTTTCATAAGTCAAATAGTCTTTTCTAAATATTATATTAATATTTGTTGTGATATAACTATGATTAAAAGTAAACTTTTAATTATTACCAGCCTATAAAAAAGATTGGTACTTGTTGAATTTTATTCTTCTGACAGCTAACACTTCGCATATTTTTCCATACTAGTGGTCATGGGTAGTACACCCGCAGGTCATAAAATCCCTTAAAAAAATGTTAATGACAAACAATATTAATATAAATTTTTTCTCAATTTGACCACAGACTATCAATAAGAAAAGTTTGACAATAAACAAACATTCAAACATATGTGTTGTGTCAAATACCTGTGGTAGGTAGCATGTCGGTAGTGTGTACAATGTATTTTTTTGTTGAGTTACTTATCTACTTAAAATGTATTTTTTATGCAAAATAAAAAAAAACGGAAATTAGCATTCTGCCCTTCTCTATAAGTGTGGGAAATTGAATACTCCTCCGTCCGCGCAATTTTCGTAAAAATCTGTACAAAGCTTTTGCTTCACTGCAATCATTCAATTATCCTGCGATTTTCATCGAACATTCCATTCCTTCTCTTTTCCAAACAAAATTAGTACTATGGATTCAGTAAGTGGCAAACAAGAAACTTCAGACAAGCCACAAGATTCACTGCAAATAACTGAAAGTGTAAGTAGTGATGGGCCTTTAACTTAACCTTAGACCTTTTAATTAAGGGCCTATCTTCACAAAAAAGTATATCAGCTAATGTAAAGAAAGTAAATGTGGACAAAATAAATATTTTACATTTAATGGCCGAAACCCAGAATTTACTCCAATAGTATGGCTACCTGAGACACGTTTGTACGTGTATCCATTTATTTAAATATATTTCACATGAAAGATGTAAATGATTGTGAAAACTTAAATTGTTACTCTATTTTCTTATGGCATATTCTACTATCTAGCCTAGTTTTTTTTTACCCTTGTAGGCATATGAGCATATGACACATAATGGTTACTGCTGCTCATGGATGTTAGCAATACTAGGAGCAGAGCCAAGCTGCTGCCTACCATTATATTAAAAAAAACTACCAGCTGCTACTCAGTATCTAAATAAAAAACAAAAACTTCATTTTTAAGTGTCAGTCAGACAGTGGAGATTTTGTGATGCCATCTGTGTTGGAGCTTGTAGAGGAGAGAGCTCACCTCCAAGAGCTGGATAGAGAACTCCAAGCTCTACACACACTACCAGAATTGGAATCTCCTACTTCTCAGCATCCCAGCACCAACAAAGGGGACCAGCGAATTAATTCTGTCCATGCTTTACTCCATACACTGAGCCCACATTTGCCACATCATGACTTCATAAAGACCTTTTTGGAATCTACTGAGCATCTCGATGATGTTGGTAAAATTAGGGTCACAAAACAGGTAAATGCTACTTATTTTAATAAAATGTATTAAATAGACTAAGGGAAACTCTTCTGTAAAAAGAGTAATAAGATGAAGAGAAAATAATGCAGTGCCCTTATAAATTGCAGATTTCTAAAATCAATTTGCTCAAAACATTTAAGATAATTGTGATTAATCAATCATTTAAAATAAATGTTTATGATGTATCGGTGTTCGAATCCCGCAGGCGGGTACCAATTTTTCTAATGAAATACGTACTCAACAAATGTTCACGATTGACTTCCACGGTGAAGGAATAACATTGTGTAATAAAAATGAAACCCGCAAAATTATAATTTGCGTAATTACTGGTGGTAGGACCTCTTGTGAGTCCGCGCGGGTGGGTACCACCACCCTGCCTATTTCTGCCGTAAGCAGTAATGCGTTTCGGTTTGAAGGGTGGGGCAGCCATTGTAACTATACTTGAGACCTTAGAACTTGTATCTCAAGGTGGGTGGCGCATTTACGTTGTGGATGTCTATGGGCTCCAGTAACCACTTAACACCAGGTGGGCTGTGAGCTCGTCCACCCATCTGAGCAATAAAAAAAAAAACAGCTTAGGTAGGAAAAAAAAAAAAAAGCAAAAATATAATTAACTGTCCAGACCTATCCTATCTACCATTTTAATTGTCGGGGAAATATTTTAAAAACAAAAACTATTTCAGTATACTTTTAAAATAAACTTGTTGTCTGAAATATTGGATGTTATTGGACAGTTCGAAATATCGAAAATCTTGTCTAACGAAGTCGATGTAGATTTCGATTTCCCTAAAACAATCATTATGGTCACTTAATAATCTCTCCGTGATAAAACTTGCTAGCCCTTTTCTACGGCGTGGGATCCTTAAACGGATACTTGGCTTGAAGAAAAGGAGGCAGCTCTATGGAACTTCTGTTGAAGAGTAACCGGTTGCGGCGGGGTATCCCAGGATACCAGCGGCACCGCCCGTGGCGGCCTTACGGGCTGCTTTACTGAGACGGCTAACGTAGTGTATCGAACATCGCCTCGACGACCCGTCGGGCAGGTGCCTTAAGGGTGGCGCTGCGAGTCTGGTTGTAGTGTTGATCTCGGGAACCCCTCTATTCTGACCGGGTTCTGACTCCGGGCGCAGATCGGCCGTCGAGTAAGAGGGCAGTCGTTTGGTAGGTAGAGCCCTAAAAACATCCTTGGGTCCGCTGACTGCTCCAGGCATCTACAAACCGCCAAATCCCACATACCTCGCGCGCCCCTAGACGCGGACAATTCGCATGAGGCTCGACCTCCTGCCCGAAAAAATGGTACACATTTTTGTAGTAAAGTACGTACTTAAAAAATTTGCATAAACGACTTCCACGATGAAGGAATAAAGCTACGTATACGTATATACGTAATACCTTTTGGTTTGAAGGGTGAGTTAGCCGTTGCATTACAAAACTGAGACTTAGAACTCTGTCGACGAGGACAGGGCGTTGCCCAGCCAGCGTGTCCCCGCCTTGTCCTCGTCGTAGCCGCAGTGGTAGTAGTGCTCTAAACACTTGCCAGACCTAGCTTCAACGGTATACTATCCTCTTTCGTTTACATAGCTACAGCATTCTGTTTAATGTAAAAATTTTCAAATCTGGTTACATTAATTCAACTAGTAATATGGACTTAACAACTCGTTTTTAGTAATAATTGTAAAAGGAGAAAGGAGGTTGTATAAAAATTAAAAAAAATCTAAAGTTAGTAGTTAGTAAAAGTGTAGTTTTAACATGTTTGGTCCTTCGAGCCGGATCAAACATGTTAAAACTACACTTTTAACCCAAAAATTTATTAAAAGAAAAAACAGCGAGCGAACAATTTTGCTTAATCACTAACTTAAAATCTAATAGTTTTTTTTTTTTAAGCAAAATTGTTTTTTCTTGTAATGAATTTTTGGGTTAAAAGTGTAGTTTTAACACTTTCATTTAAATAATTGTTTATGTGTTATGATTTTAAGTTTATAGATAACAAAATATTCAATCTAATATATAAAATTCTCGTGTCACAGTTTTCGTTGCCATACTCCTCCGAAACGGCTTGAACGATTTTGATGAAATTTTTTGTGCTTATCCCGTATCTATGAGAATCAGCCAACATCTATTTTTCATCCCCCTAAATGTTAGGGGTAGTCCACCCCTAAATTTATTTATTTATTTTTTAGACAAAATTTTTAATTTCTATTTTTTTATGATACAACATACAAAAATACATACAATCCTCAATTTTCATCCTTCTACGATCAACCCTTATTTTTTAATAGCCATTTTAGTAATTTAATCATTTTTCCTCTCCGGTCGAAAACTGATCAATCGTCATTTAATTAGTTATCCCCGCCAGATGTCTACAAGTGTCACTTCTGACCCAGTAAACAGCACGGAGTAGGGATGTTACCTCTACAGTTTTCGGCTATTATTAGTGTTTATGCTTCAAGCGTAGTAGTTAAACATTTTTAGTTCATCGCCTTGCATGTCATGTGGAAAATCTACAAAAAAAATCCCTAAAGATTTCACTAACGATACAATCACAAATGTCGACGGATATCCAACATATCGTCGAAGGAATCCAGATAATGGCGGACAATCATTTATTAAAAACATCAGCAACACAGACATTGATATTGACAATCGTTAGGTCGTGCCATATTCACCCCTGCTGAGCAAAACATACAATGCTCATATTAATGNCAATCAGGCGCATAACGCATTTCGTGTGACATGCTAGTACGATTTTGATTGGCGCGCGCACGCATCACGCAATCAGGAGCCAATCAGGCGCATAACGCATTTCGTGTGACATGCTAGTACGATTTTGGTCCCCATAATTTTCATACCCCGGGCCTATATATGTAAATCGATTCTAAAGGAGTAAACTCCAAAAACTATTTCAGTATACTTCTATACTAATATTATAAATAGGAAAGATTTGTTTGTTTGTTTGTATTGAATAGGCTCTGAAACTACTGAACCGATTTGAAAAGTTCTTTCACTGTTTGGAAGCTACACTATTCCCAAGTGACATAGGCTATCATCTTTTTTGAAAAAAAAAATAGGAATCCTTACTAAAACTCCAATAATGTAACCCAAGGTGTAAAAAAATACCTATGGTATTCTTTACATCGCGTGCCCTGCGAAAACTATTGATGATAGAATAAAATAATGTACTACGACTTTATAGAACACATTATTATTTACAAAAAGTGTCCCAACAGCATATGTCTAATTATTATAGCTATGCCTATCATATATGTTCTTTTATAAAAATAAAAAAAACAACGTCAAATATCGTTGAAATTTTTGTTAAAGACCCGAGCGGAGCCGGAGCGGGCCGCTAGTTTAAAATAAACTTGTTGTCTGAAATATTGGATGTTATTGGACAGTTCGAAATATCGAAAATCTTGTCTGACGAAGTCGATGTAGATTTCGATTTCCCTAAAACAATCATTATGGTCACTTAATAATCTCTCCGTGATAACACTTGCTAGCCCTTTTCTACGGCGTGGGATCCTTAAACGGATACTTGGCTTGAAGAAAAGGAGGCAGCTCTATGGAACTGCTGTTGAAGAGTAACCGGTTGCGGCGGGGTATCCCAGGATACCAGCGGCGCCGCCCGTGGCGGCCTTACGGGTTGCTTTACTGAGACGGCTAACGTAGTGTATCGAACATCGCCTCGACGACCCGTCGGGCAGGTGCCTTAAGGGTGGCGCTGCTAGTGTGGTTGTAGTGTTGATCTCGGGAACCCCTCTATTCTGACCGGGTTCTGACTCCGGGCGCAGATCGGCCTTCGAGTAAGAGGGCAGTCGTTTGGTAGGTAGAGCCCTAAAAACACCCTTGGGTCCGCTGACTGCTCCAGGCATCTACAGACCGCCAAATCCCACATACCTCGCGCGCCCCTAGACGGGGACAATTCGCATGAGGCTCGACCTCGACGAAAAAATGGTACACATTTTTGTAGTAAAGTACGTACTTAAAAAATTTGCATAACGACTTCCACGATGAAGGAATAAAGCTACGTATACGTATATACGTAATACCTTTTGGTTTGAAGGGTGAGTTAGCCGTTGCATTACAAAACTGAGACTTAGAACTCTGTCGACGAGGACAGGGTGTTGCCCAGCCAGCGTGTCCCCGCCTTGTCCTCGTCGTAGCCGCAGTGGTAGTAGTGCTCTAAACACTTGCCAGACCTAGCTCCAACGGTATACTATCCTCTTTCGTTTACATAGCTACAGCATTCTGTTTAATGTAAAAATCTTCAAATCTGGTTACATTAATTCAACTATTAATATGGACTTAACAACTCGTTTTTAGTAATAATTGTAAAAGGAGAAAGGAGGTTGGATAAAAATTAAAAAAAATCTAAAGTTAGTAGTTAGTAAAAGTGTAGTTTGAACATGTTTGGTCCTTCGAGCCGGATCAAACATGTTAAAACTACACTTTTAACCCAAAAATTTAATAAAAGAAAAAACAGCGAGCGAACAATTTTGCTTAATCACTAACTTCAAATCTAATAGTTTTTTTTTATAAGCAAAATTGTTTTTTCTTGTAATGAATTTTTGGGTTAAAAGTGTAGTTTTAACACTTTCATTTAAATAATTGTTTATGTATTATGGTTTTAAGTTTATAGATAACAAAATATTCAATAAGATATAAATATTGTGGTTTGGAACTTTAATCCTTAACATTTATTTAATTATTGTGTTAATATTAATTTACGAACAGTACACATTTCTAAGGTTAATAAGTACATTGTACTTAAAGTCAACAGTATTATTCAATAAAGGGATTCCTTGATTCTTTTCTATCGAGTCATTAATATCTGGATTGTTCAGGTGGTGTCTAGTGTCTGTTCCATGTTGCACTCAGAGGAGAGCAGCTGGAGTGAGGAGGAGGTGGTGTGTGTGGGCGCGTGGCTGTGCGTGCAGAGCGTGGCCGCCGACACGCGGGCCCTGCGCCGCCACGCCGCCCGGGCGCTCTGCTGTCTCCTGGACAACTGCGCTACGGACCAGCAGGTACCTACGAGGATCCCTCCCTCTAACGCTAACGAATGTTCACACAGTAAGTTCTTAGATACGACTTGAATTTAACCACATTACATTTTTGTATAACATATATTTTCGTGAAATCGATTTGCAATGTGGTCGTATCCAATTATTCTGGATTGTCTTCTCGCCCAAATCCAGCAGTATTGACTAAAACTGGTTCTTCAAAACTTCTATAATTCATTTCAACTTAATTTCATCAAGACTAGATTAATCATAATATGTACCTGAAATTATGGTTATTATGCATTATACTTTCTTAGCCCATTTTTTTTGTTGTGTTCACAACAAATGACAACAAGAGTCAAATGACTGGTCATGAAGTATTTAAGAAATGAACCAAACTCGGAGTTGTTTGCTTTCAGATTGAACGGTTAGGACATGTCGTGTGTTCGGCCGGTTGGGAGCCGGAGACGCTGATAGACGTGTCGGACGCGGCGAGCGGCGCGACCCGGCCCGCGCTCAGCGCAGCCCTGCGGCGCGCCGCGGTGCGGGACGGGGAGCTGTGCGTGCGCGGCCTCACGCGCCTCGTGCCCGCCCTCCCCGACCCCGCGCGCGCCCCCCTCCGCGCCGCGCTGCACGCACACGCGCACGCCCGCCCGCACGCACACTCGCGCACTAGACTCAAGGTGACCTCCGATGCGCTTTGCGCTATATTTAGGAATAAAACGGCGCCAATATTTCTTCGAGACTGGTCAAATTCAAATTTTTCTTTGTTGATTTCATAATCGCGTCTTGTATTTGCTTGATTTATTTGTATGGAAAATTGTGCTTAATACAATTTAATCAATACAATATATTGGGCAAAGCATATACAGGGTGTCGAACAAAGGGTATGTTAAGCCGAAGTACGTATCAAAAATGTAGATCACGATAAAAACAAAGTCTTAGTCGTAATTAGTAGTTTGATACAGTAACTACCTGTTTATTATTTGGATCTGCTGTCCGGTGACAGCCTTGAATTAATACACTTAGGCCTTTCATTCAGTTAAACGCGTCAACGAAGCAGACAATAGGAAATTCGTTAAACATATTTCAAACAATAAGTACGACCAAAAATTGAACCATAGATAACAGCAAATGTTACTAAATTTCACCTTTATTGCAAAGACAACAGAAACTGCTTGATATACCAACACCGTCTAAGCGGACTGCGGGCACTGGCGAAGTCCTCAAACGCTAGAGACTTGGCGATATTATTTTACTCCTGTACATTAGCTGACAAGGGTTATCGTACCGGAACTCCTAGATGTTATAGTCTGAATGTCACCACCTACTTTGAGACCTGAGGTCCAAGTCCCCGTTGTAATCTTGTCTCCTATCATATCTTTGTAAGAAGAATCAGTGCGAACTATGTGTGTGTGTCAGCGTCAGTGTAATCAGCTGACGTCACATGCACCTTTGTGCGTTCGGAGAAAACGCTGGATGAAGGCTGCTGCACTATTGCGTATGCTGCGTTTTCGTATAGTTTCACACTTCAGAACCCGAAGTTTTTGGGTTTTTACGATATTTTTTACTATTCCGTGCGTAGAATTGTTTTATAGACATAAACATTCGTAAGATAAGAATTATTCAAGCTCTTACGCAATTACAACTTTAAAGATACAGATTGTTCGTCACATAGCAAAAAGTGCTTAAGGAAAGCGATATCAGAGGGTAGTAGCTAATTTTTACTCTGGGAACTGATGCCCAATTAATCCCAACTGTGGGCAAAGAGCTCGCCCTCCCATCTGACCAATAAAAAAACACAAAACGCATTTTTTTATATGTGGCCAGCCTTATTTTTCAATACGAACCTTACCACGGTTAGTACGATCCATACTACCTGCGTAAAACAATTCAAGGGTGGGCAGAAACAGTTTTTCGTTATGTTCAAGTACTCTTTATTCCGGAACTATTTACTTGGATAGTTTTTTGGTCGAATCGATTTTTCTTACGGAGCATTTAGTTTTCGGCTTCATATACCCAGTATACCACTTACACTTGAATAAATTCATAAATATCCAATACTTAAATCGAGATTTGTCCTCGGACAAGAGCACCGGAACCTGCAATTAATTCTTTTTGGTTCGTCCGACGTTTATCGCCTGCTTTTTCTTTTAGCTATGATGTTGAGTGTTTATCGGTATATACGAATAAAGGAGCGGAATAGCAAGCAGCGTGTCCACTCAGGCAAATATCTAGTCTCGAGTGCACGATTTTTTTATACCTACCCATGCTGATAGCCTTGAGAAGCTATATCAGCGTTACCCTAGCGTGTAGGTGTGCTCTCGGGGCTCAAACCGGGGGTGTTGCTATCGCTGGCCCTAGCGAGAACAGTGCTTCGCTGAGTCTACCACCGGATCGGAAACGCGATCCACTGAGAAGTTCTGGCGACAAACTCAGCGGGCATTGCACGACGCAAGACCCCCACCCCCCCTCACCCCTCACTCCTCACGTTTTGTGTTTCAGTTGATGGTCGACCTCTCCATGCTTCAACTGTTCTTAAGCAGCGGCAAAGAATCAACTGTCTCCAAGTAATTAGTTTATTATGAATTTATCGGATTTTACAAAGTACTCATGAATGAGCTTGCCTTCGGTACAGACCGTTCTGCATTGTTCCTGTACTGATATTGTTATGTGTACAATAAAGATTAAAAAAAAAACTCCAATTTGTTTTGTTTCACATTTTAATGTCTACAATATTACAGTTTTTGGTTCGCTACTTTACCTCATGAAAGTTAATGTAATCCTAATCACCAAAAATTCATAAACAAACAATTCGTAGATGGAAGAACAAAGTTATTGCGAATTTCAGTGAAGAAATTGTTAAATAATCGGCTGTCGTAACATCACCATGTTTGCAAAATCATTTAAACATCTCAATATGACAACCAATGCAATCAAATTCATTTTATTTCTTTTTTGTGGTGGTTATTAGATCATACACAGCACAACGCGATTAGCGCCATCCAACTTGTAAAGTTGTGTGTGCAGAACACACTGACCTTTAAGAGTTCTTTTGTTTTATCTTTGATCGTACGTTTGTCATTGTTGTTGTTGTGCTATATTGAGTGTAGACTGTCAGCCTCAGTAAACATTGGAAATGTTCAATTAGGTGCTTCTATTTTGTTTAATTACTGTAGGTCACTGCCGCCTCCCGGGCTGGCAGGATTGCGGCGCGTAGGCTAGATTAACTGAGCTCTAAAACACTTAATAGCCTACTTACATAGTATACACATTATATAACATTTCAAATGAAATACGTAACATTTTTTGGTATACATTATGTAAAATATAGTGAGTAACGGATACAAGTCGAGATGAGAGTTCAGGTGGCCTCCAGGATGCGCGACAGTCGCAGCACCGGCAGCGCCGTCCCCGCGCCCGCCGGCCGCCGGTACGAGCCGCGCGTCTGCCAGCCCTGCTCGTGCAGCAGCGCGGCCGCCGAGCCCTGCAGCCGGCTCACCAGCGCCTCCACCATGGCGCCCTCCGCCAGCCCCGAGCCGCGCAGCGCCCACTGCCAGCTGGCCTGCAGCAGCGCCCCGCCCAGCCCGCGCCCGCGCCACTGCGGGTGCACGGTGAGGTCGTGCAGCCACAGCCCGTCCGCCGGCCCCCACAGCGCGGACAGGCTCACGGTGCCGAGGATGCGCGTGGGGGTGACGGGCGCGAAGTCCGCGTCCAGCTCGCTGACGACGTACGGCATGACCCCGTGCGGCTCGTGCACCAGCGGCCCGCGGAGCTCCGCCACGAACCCGACCCACTCGTCGCGCACCTTCTGTGTTCCAAACAAACCTTCACTGTCACACCACTTGCTAAACTGTTTTCGAACCTCATTATGGTGTTAATGTATCAGAGGGATTTAGCCATGAGTTTTAGGACCGGTCGCCGCCAGCCTGACGTAAGCCCTCCTTGGGAATGCTAACGTTGGCCTAAGAATCTAGCCATAGAAGTTTTCATTTAGACACCTTTTATGACGCCCACGGGGGAAGATACGGGTCAATCCAAATCTAAGCTGAGATCTGTGCGGCTCAGAGTCCAAGGCCCCTGCACAAGGTACATTGTACCAGTCCCAGGAGTGGCCTGAGACAAAAAGTTCTACACTACATTATGAAGCCGAGAGTAAAGAGTGAAGTAGCAAAGGTTTTAATAAATGATGATGATATAAAATAATTATTATTTTAAATGATTAATGACCAAAGAGAAAGATTGGAGAGCTGCCAAGTGACCTAGTTCATATTAGCTTAATTTCCAAAGTAACTTGAGGAAGTAAGAATGCCTGTGCTAAATGTCAAGAATGGGAAAGCTATTGGGCCTGATGAGATATCAGGTCAGGTGTGGAAGTGTTTGATTTTATTCTTCTCCTAGTAATTGATGGATTGACATTTGACCTACAGGATGAAGCATCCCGATGTATGCCGCTCGCCGATATACAGAGTAGACTGGTAAAATGCCAGAAGAGGCTGGAGAATGTGGGACTGAAGGTCAACCTGGCCAAAATGGAGCAGATGTGACTTTAGATGTTCCTCTAGTTTCCCAAGTTGCCATAGATGGTGTATCCCCACCAATCTGCTCCAACTTTAGGGCTCTGTCTTGCAAACCGAAAACAACATTGACCAAGAAGTAGTGAGGCGAATAAATGCTGGATGGATAAATAGGCGATGTGTGGAGTAACAAGACTGGATAAAATTAGAAATGAGTATATAAGAGAAACTCTGAAAGTAGCTTCAGTGACAGAGAAAGCAAAAGAGTGGAAGATTGTTGTGGAGGGCATGTTATCTATACATATAAATAAAATTGGAGTTTCTGTAATATTGAAATAGCCTCTTTTTGCTACATGCACATGAATATATACTAGGCTGCACTAAAAGTATCGGGAATGGAATATTTCCACTGTTCCTGTCATATTAAAATATTTTTAATTAAAAACTCCTTGGTTTTAAAAATCGAATACCATTTATTTATTTTAAAAAAGATTCTCGGTCTTGTCACGAGGTTTTGTCAAACTTGTTTAGTCGTTGAGAAAATGGAATTGACTCGAGAAAATTCAAGAGCGATGATTTATTATGACTTTCGAAGTGGTTTAACACAAAAACAGTGTGTTGACCGGATGATTTCTGCATTTGGTGATGAAGCCCCATCCAAAACCACAATTTATCGCTGGTTTGCTGAGTTTCAACGTGGACGTGTCAAGCTCAGTGATGATCCCCGTCAAGGTCGTCCAAAAACTGCAGTCACCCAAGAAAACGTTGATGCTGTGCGTAAGCTGATTGAGGAAGATCGACATGTGACATACCGCGAAATTCAGGCAACTTTAGACATTGGCATGAGTCAAATACAAATAATCTTGCATGAACAATTAGGTGTAAAAAAGTTGTTTTCCCGATGGATACCGCATTCGCTCTGTGAAGAGCAAAAAGCGGCTCGCGTTACTTGGTGCGTCAGAACTCTCGAAAGATTCCACGCAGGATCCTCAAATGCTGTATACAACATTGTATCAGGTGACGAATCCTGGATATACGCGTACGAACCCGAAACAAAAAACCAGTCACGAGTTTGGGTGTTCGAAAATGAGTTAAAGCCAACAAAAATTGTTCGTTCACGGAGTGTTGCAAAAAAAATGGTGGCCACGTTTGTCTCCAAAACCGGCCATGTTACGACTATTCCTCTTGAGGGACAAAGAACGGTTAATGCAGAATGGTATGCTAGCATTTGTTTGCCACAGGTCGTTTCTGAACTCCGTAAAGAGAACTGCAACCGCCGCATCATCCTCCATCACGACAATGTGAGTTCTCACACCGCGCACAGAACAAAAGAGTTTTTAGAGCAAGAAAACAGAATTATTAGACCATCCACCGTACAGCCCTGACCTAAGCCCTAATGATTTCTATACTTTCCCTAAAATAAAGAATAAATTGCGTGGACAGAAATTTTCATCACCTGAAGAAACTGTGGACGCCTACAAAACGGCCATTTTGGAGACCCCAACTTCCGAATGGAATGGTTGCTTCAATTATTGGTTCCATCGTATGGAACAATGTGTCAAATTTCGCGGAGAATACTTCGAAAAGCAATAAATACATTTTTAAATAGTAATGTTGTGTCACTTCGTTAATTCCCGAAATTTTCAGTGCCGCCCTCGTATACAGTACATACACCAAAATAAATTTTTTTACAATTTTTGTCTGTCTGTTTGTTCCGGCTAATCTCTGGAACGGCTGGATCGATTTTGACGAGACTTTCACTGATAGGTAGCTGATGATATAAGGAGTAACTTAGGCTACTTTTTTAGACTAGCTTCTCCCCGCGGCTTCACCCACATTACGACAATAACCGCGGGTAACATCGCGGGACTCAGATATATAAATAAATAGCATAAATAGCAATATATAATAAGCGATAATAAAATTTTATGTTTCCGAAGCGAAGCGAGGGTGGGTACTATTGTTAAATATAATGATAATGTAGAAAGAGCCTAAAATAGACAGTAATGTGAGGAGAGATCTCTCTAAAACAAACTTGATGGACTGTGTGAAAGTGGATATTCAAGAGAAGACTGCAGAGATGATGTGTGATAGGTCTAAATAGGAAAAGAGGATGTGCTGCTCTGATCCCATATACGTACGATACGGACAAGGAGAAAAAAAGTAATAAAATTATATTATTGATTCGTCTTTGATGATATGCAAATTTGGAAGCTAATTAGATACTTTGAAATTTATGAAAATTATATTGTGTAGTCTATCTTTCTATGTTATAAGCACATTTTCACAGATGTATATTTTAATGTGCTAGGGTTTTCATACATTTCAAGGTTAATTGTGAATTCATTTTAGATATGTAGATATCTACATCATTCGTCCAAATCCATATTTAATAGAAAATTGGAATTGTGGCTAGTTATAACTAAGCATTAATGCTTCAAACATAGTGCATGAAATACTTCACCATCTTTTGTCCATGGCAATGATATTCTCACCTTATATTCTATCTTAATCTTCCCACAAATGGCTATGAAACTTTTAACTACCTGTTACATTAGTTTAATAAAGGGTAATTAATCATACTGCCATGGGTTTACAGTTTTTTGTACCTTTCTTTTTTTAATTTGTACAAATTTATATACTTACCCATTTGACATATTATGTACTAAAACTTGATAAATAATTAACTGTTTTCTTAACTGAAAAACCAACCCGCTTATGTTTGTGACCAAGTTCAATGTGCACACAGGTGCAGCCGATATATGTCACAATGGCAAGTGCAGGACCTGGTAGCACACATATCCACAATGGAGTACTGAAGAATATAAACAGCACCGCACAGCACAGCAAGACAAATTGCAGCATCACCTGCACACATATTTGAATTTTATTAAGTGAACCACAAACCTTCACACAACACCATCTACTTTGACATCACTTATGATCTGTATAAAATTGCAGTTTTTTTTAAAGCTTCAATAGCTTAAAAACATAACAGCTTACACACAAATCTCTACAAATCGATTTAATTACAACCAAGAATTTGATATCACAACTGTTTATTTTAATAAGAGATTAAGTTTGGTACATACTTCCTGCAAAAAAAAATAGAGGAAAGCTGGAAAATTGTATTCAGCAAGGCCTAGCCGAACTAGGGTGACCCGGGCATCCTGATCTTCGGGGCGAGCCTGCCGCACAAGCACTACGCACTCCGACATTAAGTATCACTTTTACATGCAACTCATGTTACAACCAGATATTCAACACGTATTGGGTATTATATATTGATTACATTAAACAATTGCATTTAGCATAAATGACATTTATTTAAACGGCACCTAATTCACAGTTAATACACATAAGACCTATAGTCGGATTTTTTATTAGACGAAGTAAACTGACGTTTACTGTGTTGTCAGTTTTTGATGAAATAAAAATAGTGTTGTGACAAAGTGAACGATTGAAAAAACTCCTGAATTAATGCAATTGCCTCGATTGTCTAGTGAATAGTTAGTGTGCCGAACTGCCGATATCGGGCACGGGGTTCGAATTTTAGTCGTGCTTTGTACATACCAACGAGTTTTCGACGAAACATTATGTTCCTATGGTATCTACCTGTACTGAATACCGAGTGTTTTAAACATTAAGAAAAACATTGCGAGGAAGCTTGTAAGACTGTCCTATTTCCAATGCATCATATAGTTGAAACTATAGATGTATAAAATATAACAATTATAGGTACATAGGTGATGAAAATAAAAAAAACTGATTGTAGTTACATACTACTAGTAACATATTATTATATTGGATCACTTTAATACAATTTTATTGTAAAATATAAATAATATTCTTTTATAGTTTGAAATTAATGATTAACTCTTCACACTCATTGTTCATTTATGTGATTGAACGAGAACTGAACGCATCACTATTACTTTAAATATAGCAACATTATTTNTACAATTTTATTGTAAAATATAAATAATATTCTTTTATAGTTTGAAATTAATGATTAACTCTTCACACTCATTGTTCATTTATGTGATTGAACGAGAACTGAACGCATCACTATTACTTTAAATATAGCAACATTATTTCACAAAGTGACATTAGCTACTGTCAGCTGGCTTCGTCTAATTAAAAATCCGACTATAGATAATTATGAAGTGAAAAATCTATGATAAGTTCATCGATCTATTAGCATAGACGTAGGTTTCATACTTCAGTGTAGGGATGGCGATCTCAAATCGATTAATCGAAGAATCGATTTCTCGGACCAAATAAATCGATTTTTTAAATCGATATGTCGTACTGAATCGATTCAGTGAATCGATATTTTACCCTTGAAAATCGACTTTCGATTTTTTCTGTTTTGGTAAAAAAAAAATTTATTTAGAATTAGCTGAATGTACTCACAATATTACGGCATTGCCAGTTAAATGTTTAATTACTTAAAAACTCACGAGATGGCGGTATGTTTAGTTTTCGTCGCTTCTCTTTAGTAAAAAACACCTTCCACAAAATGAAGAATGCGACGCAATAGAAGGGACTGATTTAGAAAAAGGAATTTGGGATTTTCATAAGTTGCTTGTCAAAAAGCAACTCTCTACATGTAATACACTTGCACTGGAAAGTCAAGGCTTAAACGAAGAGTTTAAACACTATTTATCACAGGCAGTTGTGCACCTAAAGTATGATCCTACACTTTATTGGCAAGAACAAAAAAACTCTATTTATCACCATGTTCACTCAATAGCCGTAATGTATATGAGTATCGTAGGATCATCTGTTCCCTGTGAGCGCCTTTTTTCGATTGCCGGCAACATCGCAAGTGATGAGCGGAACCGCTTGGATCCCTTGACCTTGATTAGACTTGACAAATTGTTGTTTTTAAAAAGCTTAGATATGAAGCATTGGGAACTATAAGCTATTGTTATCTACTCTCTTAACTTTTTAATGTAACAAATACGTTTAGAAAATAAATGTCTTCTTTTATATCTGATCTGATATTTTGATATGGTAATAAAAATAATTGTAATTATCGAATTCCCTGAACTAATAAATTCCTGATTTTACTGATAAGAGATCCCAGAGATTGTTTATTATGTATCATTTTTGTTTTTCATAAAATGGATTTATATTTACATTGTAAATACAAATTTGAAAAAATTCGATTTTTTAGAAATCGATTTTTGAGACCTCGATTTTTTTATGAATCGATTTATCAGGTTACGATTCGAATCGATTTAAAAATCGATCTTTTTTGGAAAGAATCGCCATCCCTACTTCAGTGTCTATTTTTTTTATAAAGATTTTTTGACCTGGTAACTAAGTCATATCTTATTTTAAATTTATATTCTTATTTTTATGAAAAAAAGATAAGATGGACTGAAATAAAATAAAATGAAGGTGATTAATTTGAGATCAACTGAGATTATATATAACTTTGAGATTATATGGGCTGAAATATAATCTCAGTAAAATGGTGGTCATTTACTGAGATTTTTTTCAGTGGACTTTTTGGAGGATCCGGAGAAGTTACGTCCAGCGGATTTGTTTAATTTTCCCACATTTGTGCACTTTCACAGATACTAAACAGTTAATAAACCACCGTTATTACACATTTAAACCTGAAGAAATACTATAGACAAAATAAAACTTCTCACACAACTTCACTCCTCGCGTTCCCGCCAAAAAGTCCTCAGTGTCTATTTTTTTAATGGGATTTTATGACCTGGTAACTGAGACCTTTAAGTCATGTGTTATTTTAATTTATATGCATATTTTTGTGAAAAATTATATTATGGAGTGAATTGAAATGAAGATGATTAATTTGAGAATTTAATCAACTGGGATTAAATGAAATGAAATGAAATGAAATGAAATGAAATGAAATGAGATTTTTTTTTATGATTGAAGGATTATTGATGGCCCGGAGGCCTTTCCAGTTTCACCAAGACAGGTGGGCGAGCAAAGGCTCAGCCAGGAGGGGTGGGATTTGCTAACAGCTACCCGAGCGCCTCCGAAGGAGACCTAACAGCTCAAGAGTAGCTGCTTCGCGAATGAATCTACTACCGGATCGGAATCGCGACCCGCTGAGAAGATCCGGCAAGAAACTCAGCGAGCTGATTCATGGGTTAGGTTGCACGGCGAACTCTGTCGAGTTCGACGAGTACGGTTACCGAGGTCCCTAAGCCTGCTCCTAGAGCTGAAGGCGTCTAGTGCAAAGGTTATTGGATCTGATGGATCCGTAAGGACGTGTCTAGGGCGTCGACGGTGACTGGCTCCTGCGTGATCAGGATTCGGGGAGTAGTCAGCGGCGGCAACGATAAGGCGATTATCATGACGCATAGCCTTATCGAAGTACCGTTCCGACGCTGACTTCATGTATTTCTGGATAGATTCGAGGCCCAGGTCGTTGTGTAGGTCAACGTTCCTCACGAACCACGGAGCTCCGACGGCTAACCTGCAAAAGCGGGATTGTAGAGATTGGAGGGTGTCTATGTGTGTGCGGGCCGCGTGAGCGAACACCACACTCGCGTAAGTCATGACGGGCCTTATGCAAGTTTTGTAAAGTGTCACCTTGTTCCGAAGGGACATTTTACTCCGCTTACAGATCATGGGGTAGAGTCTACCGAGAATAAACGCGGCACGGTCACGGACTGATTTTATATGCGGGCGGAATGTCATCGATGCATCCAGGGTAACGCCCAGGTACTTGACCTTCCTGGCCCAGGGTATGGATTGACTAAAGAGAGTAATCGGGGGTGTGAGATTCCTCCTCCTAATACGGGAGGAAATCCGTGTGGAGCTTCCCCTCTGAAATAGCACCGCAGTACTTTTCGCTGGGTTGATGTCTATGCGCCATTTTCGGAACCACTGTCCTAGGGCTAGGGCTGCGCTCTGAAGCTTCTTCGCGATTAGGGACTTGTTTCTACTGGAATAGTAAACAGTCGTGTCGTCGGCGAATAAAGCTAAATGGGTCGGCGGCGACCGGGGAATATCGTTAACGAATAAGCTAAATAGGAGGGGTGAGAGGACAGAGCCTTGCGGGACTCCAGCTGTGAGAGGTCGTGGGGAGGAGCGGGTTCCCTCGACTCGATATCGAAAAGAGCGGTTCGACAAGAAGTCCCGTATGATGAGCACGAGACTATCCGGCACGCCCATGTTGAATAGTTTGAAAATCAAACCGTTGTGCCAGACTTTGTCGAACGCTTTTGCGACGTCGAAGAAGAGAGCTCCCGTGTATAACGGTTTTGGTCGATTAAGCCCCACAAGAATGTGCTCCGTGAGGCGGTGCACCTGTTGAACGCATGAGTGATTTGTACGGAATCCGAATTGTTCATCGATGAGAATGCCCTTGGATGAGACGAAGTCTCTGAGGCGTTTGTAGAGCAGACGCTCATACAGTTTGCCTAGAGACATGAGGAGGCTAATCGGGCGGTAGCTCGTCGGATGATTTTTTGGTTTACCGGGTTTATGTATGCCGATAACGTCCGCTTCTTTCCACACCGCGGGAAAGATACAGTTCGCCATAGCGGCATTGAAAATAGATGCCAACATCACGATGAGTTGAACGGGTAGAAGTTTAATAACGCGGTTGGATATACCGTCGGAACCGGGAGCCTTGCGGGGACGTAGGTCTTTGATCAAGTCCTTAACTTCCATCGGGGTGACGGGTGGTAACGCATCCGAGGGTGGCAAGGAGGCTCTGCGTTCTACCTCACTGTCTACTAATTCTACATGAACAGGGCTCACGGATTGAGTTCTGGGCGTGCACTGGGTTTGCAATGTATCGGTCAGCAGCTCTGCTTTTTCGTCATCATCGAACGCCGCTAGTCGACCTGAGAGGCCTACGAGGGGGGGGCATAGTTACTACCGTATCCGATTTGAGAGTACGAGCTAAGCGGTAGTAAGACCTTTGGGAGGGCGCGAGTCCTTCTAAGAAATCAGACCATTTGGTATCTCGGACTTCGGCGGCGCGAGTCTTTACGTCGCGTTGTAGGGCACGCATTCGAATACGATTTTCCGTGGTAGGATACCTGTTGTAGGCGCGTATCGAGTCTTTCTTTGCTCTAAGGAGTTCCCTAATATCGTCGGACAATTTGAAGCGGTGAAGGAAGTCCTCCGCTACAACTTGTTTCGAAGACCTATCTAATGTCAAGGTGATGTGTGACGTTAAGATGTCTATGGCTTCAGCGGTATCCTCAGGAGACGGGTTAGAGTTCGGGCTAAACGGGAGCGATGGTGGATCAGATTCAGCCAGGCTGATGCCCAGCGTGTGCCAATCCACCACAGTCTTCGTGACGGGAACGGAATTGGGAGCGCGACCGATTGGGACGGTTGTCTGAATCTAACTCTG